TGTCACAGTCTTATTCTGTCGCCCAGGCTGGAGGGAAGGGAAGAGGAGGGATTCACCTCCCCAAGTTTAGGGAGGGGCCTAGAGCTTAAAGAGAAGGACAGTCCAGCCAGAGTTCAATGAAAGCATGGCCTGGCCAGAGCCCTGGCTGCTTGAATTTCAGTGTTTTTTAATCTTTTGGTGGGTGTAGGTTGTTAAGATGATCGGGTGTGGTGTGTTTTACCCTATCACGAAGGGGGCAGGTAAGCACAGTAACTAAAGTCATGGTGATAGATGGCAGGTAGGTGAGTGGATTAGTCTCCTAAGTGTTACTATGGTAATGGGGTCTGTCCCTCACCTGCCTGATGACTGGATGGATAGGTGGGCCAGCCACATAGATGGGAGGGGTAGGTCCAAGAGCCTAAAGACAAATTATGTAGGAGACATTAGTCTCAGTGTCCTGGGACTCTTCCAGGGTTCCAGAAAAGGTTTATTGGGAAAGGATATTGTCATGTATGAGATCAGAGAAACTCTGGTTTGGGTTTTGTCCTTTCAGATGGATTATTTATCTTCTTTTTTATTTTGGAGGGGGTGAGTCAGAGTCTTACTCTGTCGACTAGGCTGGAGTGCAGTGGCATGCTCATGGCCCCCGCTGCCTCGACCTGCTGACCTCAGGTGATCCTTCTGCTTCAGCCTTCCAAGTAGCTAGAACTATAGACACGCACCACCACACTGGGCTAATTTTGATTTATTCTATAGACGAGGTCTCACCAAGTTGCCCAGAGTGGTCCTCAAACCCCTGAACTCGGGCAGTCCTCTCACCTCAGCCTCCCAAAGTGCTGGGACTACAGGCTTTGAGCCACCGCTCCCAGCCTCATTGCATTCTTCGTGTGTTCTGTTTTGTTGTCTAATTTTCAGTTTGTCTATGTCTTTAACTCTGGTTGTTTTCTTCTGTCCTAGTTTTCAATTTACTCATTTCTCTATTCAACTATATTTATTTCAAATATTATGCATTCATTCATTGATTCCTAATCTTAGTTACTATATTTTTTCATTCTGGAATTTGTATTTTATTCTTCTCCTTTTTGCCTGAAATTCTCAACTAGTCTTTTATTTCCCTAAAAAATGCTGTTATTTTAATATTCATGTCTGATAACGTATTTGTCTGAAACCTGCAGGTTTGTTTCTGTTGCCTGTTACTTCTTTTGTTTTGGGTTTCTGTTGTTGCATTAAGTTCTTGTGTGCCTAGCTATTTTTGATTGAGTGTAAGTCATTGTGTATGAAAAATTTGAGCTTCTAAATGATATATTTCTCTATAGGCCTACATTAGTTTCTTAAAAAAAGAGTAAGGGCACCAACAAGATCAAATTCAGATAATTAAACTATCCAATTTGGGATTCCGTTCCTGAGAGGTACACTATGTTTCTTTTTCCCTTTAATAGTGTGCCTATTTATGGTCTTACTCTGAAGCTTGATATTTCCCATCCTTTTTTTCCAAGGAATTTCCCAAAGGAATTGTTATCAGTTTGGCATGTATCCTTCTAGATCTTTTCTTTGATTTTATATGTATGTGTGTGTGTATATACATGTGTGTACATATGCATACTTTTAGAAATGATTTTGTGTCTTTTTTTTGTTTTTACAAACCCTTGATTTTATGTCTTTTTTTAATAAATAGAATCATTCTGTATGTTATTTTGCAACTTTTCTTCACTTAATAGCATTTCTTGGTAAGTTTTCCATTTCAGTACAGATTGAGCTATGTTTTTTTGGCGGGGGGCAGTTATGAAGTATTTTGTAGAACAGTTAAGAGTTTAGTGAGGCCAAGCTCGGTGGCTCAGCCTATAATTCCAGCACTTTGGGAGGCCAAGGCAAGTGGATTGCCTGAGCCTGTGGGTTCAAGACCAGCCTGGGCAACTTGGCGAGACCTGTCTCTACAATAAATAAAAAATTAGCCAGGCGTGGTAGCGCACACCTGTAGTTCCGACTACTTGGAAAGCTGAAGTAGAAGGATCACTGTGCCATTGCACTTCAACCTGCGCAACAGAGTGAGACTACAACTCAAAAAAAAAAGTTTACTGAACCATTGTCTTAGGGACAAACTTTAGGATGTCTCTCTTTTTCATTTTATACTCAAGCAATGTGGTGAGTATCCTTATATATGCCTTCTTTAGATGCATAAGGATTTGTAAAATAGAAATTAAAAATGATAATGAGAGATAACTGTATGCATTTTTACCTTTTTCTTTTTTTCTTTTAAAAGATGAGGGTCTTGCTATGTTACCCAGGCTGGTCTCAAACTCCTGGCCTCAAGCAGTCCTCCTGCCTTAGCCTCCCAAGTAACTGGGATTACAGGTGTGAGCCGTATGTCTGACTCTACATTTTTTACTTTAGTAAATAGTGCCAAATTGTTCTTCTAAATTCACCAGCAGTGAATGGTAGTATAAGAATTTCCACACATCCTCACCAGTGCTTGATATTGTGTAATTTAAAAGTTTGCTAGTCTTATGGGAGGAAAAATCTTGTTTTAGTTTTTATTTTGCTGATTGAGATTTAGATTCTTTTCATATGTTCATGGAACATTTCTTGTTCCTGTGCTGTTTTAGCAGTCTTTCATGATTTCTTCTACTCTATAGTTATTTTTGTTCTAGTGGTCTCAGATGTTAAATTATAATTTGCTATATCAAGCTTCAGATTATAAATGGCTTTGATTCTTACAAATGCTATAGTGTAATCAAATTTCAGTGGTAAGATAAATGTGAAAAATTAATATCTATTCACATAATAGAGTATATTTTTGTTTTCTTTCTTATCCTCTCAGAAGCTTAATATAAGTACATAAGGAGGTATAGGCATAGGAAAGAAATTGAATTATTATTATTAAAAATTTCATTTTTTCTTAGACATATAAACCTCAGACATCACGACCCAATCTCATCAAACCAGCTGCTCAGTGGCAAGATCTGAAAAGATTGGGAGAAGAGAGGCCTAAAAAGTCTAGAGCAGCATTTGAATCAGATAAGAGCAGCTATTTTTCAGTGTGTAACAACCCATTGTTTGATTCTGGGGTACAGGATGATTCCGAGGATGACTACGGTGAATTTCTGGATCTTGGGCCTCCTGGAGTCTCTGAATTCACTAAGCCAAGTGGCCAGACAGAAAAAGAACCCAAACCTGGACCAAGTCATAACCAAGCAGCAAATGACATTGTCAACCCCAGATCAGAGCAGAAAGTCATTATCTTGGAAGAAGGTGGCCTTCTTTTCTCAGAAAATGAACCTTTGGAAGCTCAGAACCAATCATCTGAAGACTCAGAAACTGAACTTTTATCAAATCTTGGCGAGTCGTCTGCTAGTGTGGATGATCAGACCATCGAAGAAGACTGCTGGTTAGATCATCCTTACTTCCAGCCTCTAAACCAACAGCCCCGTGAGATAACAAACCAAGTTGTTCCTCAGGAGCGGCACCCTGAAGCAGAACTGGGTCCCTTGTTGTTTCAGCATGAACTCCCAGGGCCAGCTTTTCCAAGACCAGAACCCCAGCAGGATGGGATTCCAGGCCCCTCTTCTCCTCAGCCTGCCCATCCTCTAGGTGAGCTTGAAGAGCAACAGTTAGCAATAGATGATGAAGAACCAGGTCCAGCCTTTCCAATGCAAGGATCTCAGGAGGCCAATTTGGAAAACATTTGGGGGCAAGAAGCTGCGGAAGTAGATCGAGAACTCATTGCACTATTAGTAAAAGAAACGGTAAGTTTTATTTTATCAAGTAAATAATTTCACCAAAAAAGTATTGTTTGTGTGTCTGTACTTCATTTTCCTAAGTTACATATCTAGATGTGTAGAATAGAAGAGGAGACACTCTTAAGACATGAAAGTAGAATTTGGAATTAGGATTCCTTAATTTTATGCTTAATCCTAATCCTCCAGGAAGCCCTCTGGGATTCTAGCTGCTGTCATATCTGCAGCCCTCCAGTTTTTTTTTTAGAGACTTTGAATTCACTTTAAATACAAACCCTTAAAATAGATTGATTGGATTACCTAGACCTGTGCTGTTTAATATGGCAGTGACTATTTACATTTAAATGCTTACAGTTAAATAAAACCACAGCTGTGTGTGGTGGCTCAAGCCTGTAATCTTATCACTTTGGGAGACCAAGGCAAGAGGATTGCCTGAGCTCAGGGGTTCGAGACCAGCCTGAGCAACATGACGAGACCTCGTCTCTACAATAAATCAAAAAATAAGCAAGGCATGGTAGCGCGTGCCTGTAGTTCCCACTACTTGGAAGGCTAAGGCAGAAGGATCGCCTGAGCCCAGCAAGTCGAGGCTGCGGTGGCCGTGAGCATGCCATTGCTCTCCAGCCTGGGTCACAGAGTGAGACTCCAACTCAGAAAATAAATAAATAATAAATAAAACCACAAATGCAGCTTCCAGTAGCATCAGTCACATTTTAGCCTTAGTAGCTAAGTGAGGCTAACAGCTACCTCGTTGTCAGGCATAGAGGAGAACATTTCCATTGTCATACAAAGTGCTGAGTAATTGGCTACTATCTGCCTTTAAAGTCCGTAACCCTTCCTTTTTTTTTGAGTTTTTGTCTCAGTCTTTTGCCCAGAGTGGCCGCTCCCAGCCACCGCAGCCTCAACCTGCTGGGCTCTGGCAATCCTTCCACCTCAGCCTTCCAAGTAGCTGGAACTACAGGCATGCGCTACCACGCCCGGCTAATTTTTTGATTTATTGTAGAGATGAGGTCTCGCTACCCAGGCGGGTCTCGAACCCGCGGACTCAGGCAGTCCACTCACCTCACCCTCCCAAAGGCACGGGATTACAGGCTGAGCCACCTTTCTTAAACCAGGTGTTATTATCTGTCCCACTAAGTGTATGCTTCTCGAGGGTGGACATAAGCTATACCTTGTTTGTGTTTCGACTCCCTTTGCCTGGATAGTGATGCTCAGCATTTGTTGAAAGAGTGAAGAACAGATCTGTTAAATGAGGGCAGAGGTCCTAATGATCGCTGAGAACCTATTGTTGAATTTTAAGTCACACAGATCTACTTTACAGCCTATTTCTAGTCTGTCTGTCTCTCTCTCTCTCTCTTTTGGGTTAGACAAGTTCTCTCACTTTGTTGCCCAAGCTGGAGTGCAGTGGCATGAACACGGCTCACCACAGCTTCAAATTGCTGTAGTGAAGTGATCTTCCCACTTCAGCTTCTCAAGTAACTGAGACTACAGCCATTACGCTCAACTAACTTTTTAAAAACTTATTGTAGAGACAATCTTGCTGTGTTGTCCAAGCTGGTCTGAACTCCTGGGCCCAAGCAGTCCTCCCACAGTGTTGGGGTTATAGGTATGAACCATTACGTCTGATCTTTTTTTTTTTTTTAAAGGAAAAGGATCTCTCTTGCCTAGGTTGAAGTGTAGTGGCTGGGTCATACATACCTGGGTCATAGCTCACTGCAACCTGGAATTCTGGGCTCAAGCCATTCTCCCACCTCAGTCCCCAAGTACCTGGAACTACATGCGTATGTCACCATCCCCAGCTAATTTTATTTCTTGTCGAGACAAGGGTCTCACTATGTTGCCCAGACTGGTCTTGAAATCCTGGCCTCAAGCGATCCTCTTGCCTCAGCCTCCCAAATCACTGGGAATACAGATTTGAGCCACTGCACCCAGCCCCTTTTCTAGTCTTTAATCATTTTTATATACTTTTTGGCATCTGGTTTTTTTCACCATTTGAAGTCATTCTAGTGAATTAAATACAAATAATGTGCGCTCTCTCTCTCTCTCTCTCTCTCTCTCTCTCTCTCTCTCTCTCTCTCTCTCTCTCAAATTAAATATAAAGCCCGTCCTCCCTCCCTCTCTCTCCCTCTCTCCCTTCCTCCCTCCCCCTCATCTCTCTCTCTCTCTGTTGTTCTTTCTCTTTTTTTGAGTCCCAGTCTCACTTTGTTGCCTAGGCTGCAGTGTAGTGGCATGCTCACAGCTGCTGTAGCCTCAAACCTGCTGGGCTCAGGTGATCCTTCTGCCTCAGCCTTCCAAGTAGCTGTGACTAAAGGTGTGCACCATCACTCCTGGCTAATTTTTTAAAATTTATTGTAGAGATGAGCTCTCACCATATTTCCCAGGCTGGTCTTGAACTCCTGGGCTCAGGTAATCTTGCCTCAGCCTCCCAAAGGGCAGGGATTACAGGCATGAACCATTATGCCCAACTAATAATCTTATTCCTTTCTAGGAAGCAAGATTTCCAGATGTCGCAAATGGATATGTTGAAGAAATAATTCATTTGAAAAATTATTATGATTTGAATGTGTAAGTATACCAACATGCCTTTTTTCCTTTTTGGGTAAATATGTATATAATACACAGTTTGTCATTTTAATAATGTTTAATTATACAATTTAGTGCAGTTAAGTAAATTCATGTTATTATACAGCCATCACCACCATTCATCTCTAAACCTTTTTTATCTTCCCAATCTGAAACTTTGTTTCTGTTATACACCTACTGCCTATCCCCTTGCCCAGCCTGTGGCAACGACTATGCTCCTTTCGATCTCTTTATACAGTATTTGACTACTCTAGGGACCTCATGTAAGTGGAATCATACAGTGTTTGTTCTTTTCTGACTAGCTTATTTCACTTTGCACCATGTCTTTTTAATGTTAGTTCTAACATTAGCCATATACAGATTGTTTTCTTTATCTTAGAGAATACTGCATGATTATGAAATTATGATACCTAGTTTTTTCTGAGTATTGACACTACCTGTGTTTTAGTCAAGATGTTAAAAGACATTTTCTTCCCTATAATCATAACAGAAAGTGTTCTGCAGCCACTCTGGGGAGATACGTGAAAGCACTTCTTTAGTTTTATAAAAATGAAAAGTATTTTTGTTAAAAAAGAGTTTCCTGAAGAATACAAAATGAACAAGAAATATTTTTTCCTCTTATATTCTTTTCCCTCCTAGTCTGCAGAGGTAAAGTAGTTGTAAATTTGTAAAGAATGGTAGTATATTGAAATTAATCAAATTGTCAAAAAGTTAATACAGATATTTTTAAATTAAAATATAGATAGTACATTAAGCCCCTGTCCTCAAAGGTTATATCTTGTACCGCAGTTCTCAGCCAAGGGAGCAAGTGGGTATGTTCCCTGCCAAGGCTGAGAGGGAAGGGCTCCCTTTTTTTTTCTTTTTTTTAATCAATGATTTTTTTCTCAACATTTTTAAATATAAAAAGTTGAAAAACTGTACAATGAACACCCATATACATACCACTCATATATCTACTACCTGATTATTATCTGACATTCTGCTCTAAAAAAAGACTTTCCTTTTTATTTCTTCTTGCCTATTAAAAAAAAAATAACTATGGACTTAAGAGTTTTTGCTTAAGTGATATTTTAGATCAGTTATAATTGTTTTCTTTTTGATACTGAAATTATCCTAGGCTCCAGTAGGAGCCTCTTAATATGCACCTGTCTTTTCAACTCATTCCCTTAGTTTTTGAGCACTTCTTGCTTTCTAACATACCGTGTTGCCCTAGGCTTACCTTGAACTTCCTGTGCCCAAAACCTTTATCATTCTCTAAGAAACCCAGATTTCTTAAGATGAAGCTCAGTATTTATAAACTACCATCTCAGGACTAGGTGTGTTCACCATCGCTACTAGTACAACATCCCTTCTAGGACCTTTCACTGGACAGACCAAGGAAATGTTTTGTTTTGTTTTTTTAATCATAAATGTATATCATAATTTCCAATTGAAATTTAACATGAAGACTTATTCTCAACCTTTATACATTTTTCATTTGTATGTTTTTTCTTTCATTAAAAACTTGATTTCTATAAACATTAATATATTCTCTTTATCCTTTAATACACACAAAATAACTTAAAAGTAAAATACTAGTGTTACTATTAATAATAACCTACTGAATGAAGTAAACAATTTGTCTAAATAGTTAGCTTTACACTTCAACATATATCTCAATAAGGTAAAATAGCTAGAATATAGAATGTACAGGCCATAGATTGATGATGTTGGAAAGTTCTGAAAATTATGTAGCCATTATCATATCAACAGTCTCTGCCCGTTTTCCTTCTCCTCTCTTCTGTAACTCTTCTCCCCCATCCTTCATGTCTATCAATCCCACCTCTGTCTTTGAGATTCATTCCAGATGATTTCATCAGAGCTCTCCTCTAGCTCACGAAGTCTCTTCAGTAGGGTATAATCTGCTTTTAACCCATCCACTATGCTCTAAATTTCATTTACTGTATTTTTGTTTTTAATTTTCTTGGTCATTTTTCTAGTGTTTTATTGTTTACATATGTTTTTAATTCCCTCCCCCCTTTTTTTTGAGTCAGAGTCTCTGTTGCCCAGGCTTGAGTGCAGTGGCACAATCATGGCTCACCGCAGCCTCTACCTCCTGGGCTCAGGCAATCCTTCACCTCAGCTTCCTTAATAGCTGGGATTACAGGCACTTGCCACCATGTCTGACTTATTTTTTGTTTGTTTTTTGAGTCAGTGTCTCATTTGCCCAAGCTGGAGTGCAGTGTTATGGTCACTCACCGTAGCCTCCAACTCCTGGGCTCAAGTGATCCTCCTGCGCCAGTCCTGAGTAGCTGGGACTACAGGTGCATGCCACTGTGCCCAGCAAATTAATTTTTTGTAGAGATGAGGTCCCACTCTGTTGTCCAGGCTAATTTCAAACTCTTGGACTCAAGCAGTTCTCCTGCCTTGGCTTTCCAAAGTGCTGGGAGTACAGGCGTGAGCCATCATGCATGTAGTTTTATTTCTTTAAATATAATACAGTAACCTCTTTGTGACTGATTGTTCTGATGTGTGAAGTTCTTGAGAATCTTATTCTGTTTGTTCTCCTGGCTTCCATGGGGGCTTGTTTTCTTGTGTATTTTGAAAATTTGACTCTAAGCTCATGTCTTGATAGAATTGATTCCTTCAGAGAGGATTTACTCTGTTTTTGTCAGGTCCCCGGGGCAATGTCAAAGATTACTTTAGATTTCTGTCTTGAAGTTTTTGGCTCAGCATTTTTCATCTTTTATTGAGAGACTACCTGGGTACTTAATCTTTTTTTTTTTTTTGAGTTGGAGTCTCACACTGCAGCCTCGACCTACTAGGCTCCGGCAATCCCTCTGCCTCAGCCTTCCGAGTAGCCGGAATTACAGGCATGCGCTACCACGCCCGACTGAATTCTTGATTTATTGTAGAGATGAGGTCTCGCTGCCCAGGCGGGTCTCGAACCTGCGGGCTCAGGCAGTCCACTCACCTCAGCCTCCCAAAGGTGCGGGATTACAGGCTGAGCCACCTAGCCTTAATCTTTGATACTGCAGGAGAAGGAGGTTATTTTATTATTTTGCACGCCAGTTACTCTTCTCAAGCCATTCTTCATATTTCTGGGTATATATAAATTTTAAACCTTGTTATTGTAGACTGTAGCACATACAGAAAAATGCACAAAATAAAGATACATTGCTCGATAATTTATCATAAAGCAAGCATTCATGTAACCACAATGCAAAAATCTTCAAGAAACAGAACGTTGCTACCATCTTTGGATACTATGTAAAGGTTTTATATAGTCTGTAGTCTTTTTTGTCTGGCTTCTTTCACTCAGCATTATGTTTGTGATGTTGATTCATGTTGTCTATAACCATAGTTGATGAATTTTCATTGCTAAGTAGTATTCTGCTTATATCAAGAAATACTGTAATTTTTCCTCTTTTACTTTTTTTGTGACCGAGTCTCACTGTCACGCTCATGGCCACCACATCCTTGATCTGCTGAGCTCAACCAGTCCTTCCACCTCAGCCTTTCAAGTAGCTAGAACCATAGGCATGCACCACTAAGCCTGGCTAATTTTTTGATTTAGTGTAGAGATGAGGTCTTACCAAGTTGCCCAGGCTGGTCTCGAACCCCTGGGCTCAGGCAATCCTCTCCCCTCTACCTCCCAGAGTGCTGACATTTCAGATGTGAGCCACCACGTGCAGCTTTTTTTTTTTTTTTTTTAAGAAACAGGGTCTCCCTCAGTCATCAAGCTGGGGTACATTGACTTGATCACAGCTCACTGCAGCTTCAGACTCCTGGGCTTCGTGATCTTCCTGCCTTAGCCTCCCAAGTAGCTGGGATTACAGCTGCACACCACAACGCCTGATTAATTTTTTATTTTTACAGACATGATCTTGATATGTTGCCAATGCTGGTTTTGAACTCCTGGCCTCAAGTGATCCTTTCAACCTCTTGAGTAGTTGGGATTATAGGTGTGAGCTACTGTGGCTTGACCCCTGTATTTTTGATAGGCATTTGAATTGTTTCCACTTTCTGACTGTCACAAATAATACAGCTATGAACATTCTCAGGCATGTCTCGTGAGCTTCCACTCTGCCCCAAGTCCTGGTCTCGACATCCTGTTGGCTACTGCCATCTTCCAGCAAAACTTTTATTTGTTGTTTTTTCTGTCTTGTCTCTTACCATCTTTGGGAATGTTGGCCTGCCATCACTAGAAGAGAAAGTATTATAATAGTCTAAGCTTTCAAAGCCCTTTTTGGGGGTGACATGATAATAACTACATTTTATAAATTCTTAAGCTTTATTTTTAAAAGCAGTTTTACGTTCACAGCAAAATTGAGCAGAGATAACTACATTTTTTTTTTTTTTGAGTCGGAGTCTCACTCTATCGCCCAGACTGGAGTGCAGTGGCCGCTCCCAGCCACCGCAGCCTCTACCTGCTGGGCTCTGGCGATCCTTCTGCCTCAGTCTTCCAAGCAGCTGGAACTACAGGCGCGTGCTACCACACCTGGCCAATTATTTTATATATTGTTGAGATAAGGTCTCACCAAGTTGCCCAGGCGGGTCTCGAACCCACGGGCTCAGGCAATCCACTCACCTCAGCCTCCCAAAGCATGGGATTACAGACTGAGCCACCAAGCCCAGCTGATATTAGTTCTTTACATGGTTGGTAGAATTTAGCAGAGAAGCCATAAGGTCCTGTACTTTTCTTTGATGGGAGACTTTTTTTAATGATTAAACTTCATCACTTGTTATTGGTCTGTTCAGATGTTTTATTTCTTTATAATCAATCTTCAATTAGCAAATTTTTTTTTCTTATTCTGTGGGTTGTCTCCCTGCTCAGTTGATGGTTTCTTTTGCTGTGCAAAAGCTTTTCAGTTTGATGAGGTCCCACTTGTCTACCTTATCTTTTACTGCATTCACTTTTGGGGATTTGAACAAGAATTGTTTACCTACTCCAATGTGCTTAAGAGTGTTTCCTGCATTTTCTTCTAGGATACTTATAATTT